AAAGGTGCACACACATGCATTTACATATGTATGTACATACAAACGAGCACCAATTAATTTTATTTAAAGAAATGGCGTGTCGTCTATTTCCGCCGATATGCGTGTATAAACCCTCCTCAAAGTCTAGCCAAAAAGCCAGCAACTCACACAACAGGTTCCCCAGAGTAATTCGCTCGAGAAAGTGGTACCCGGTACACGTAATACGCGGCACACAGCACAACAATCCGCCAAAACAGGCAACCCGGCCCAAAATTACCACCGTAGAAGGCAGAAACCCCGAGCGGCAGTGCAGGAGCCAAAGAATTACCCTTAAAACGGCCACAGGAGCTTAAAAAGACCAACTGGTCCCCAACTGGGCTGAAGATATGTAGTTTCGGACTAGTCCCCAACTGGTTCCCGGACTGGTCCCCGACTGGTTACCAACTGGTTCCACGAACTAGTTACCAACAGGTCCCAAAGTGGTTACCAACTGGTCCACCTATACCTCAAGTGGTCCACAAGTCACTTCACTTACAAAGCATTCGATTTAGTTGACAATAGTCAAACTAATTTTATTTAAAGAAATGGCGCGTCGTCTATTTCCGGTGTAGCAAACGTAGTACATAGGGCGACATCTAGATGTCATCTACCTCGCCCTATTCACTATGCTTTTTTATAGGAGCTTTTCAAATCTTTGCTTTGGTGTCGGAACACAACATTGAAAGTTTCTGGATCCACAACATTGAAAGTTTCTGGAACACAACATTGCAAGTTGAAAAGCGTTGTAAAATTCATTCTACTAAGGGAAAATTCCGAATTAAAAATCCGCTTTTATTATTCAAAATTCCAGTCTGGCAAGACCATGTTTGATGTTATTTTGCTATAGCTATATAAGATATATCTTATTCATTGTTTATACGAAAACTTCAACAAATTATATAGAACCTATAGGATTGCTAGAAAAAAGGGGGTTATTTTTGAAACCAAGGAGTCCTATTTTACCCCTCTCATTCCACTTTTTCAAGAATTTGCCGTCCGCATACAAAAATTTTCCCTTTTTTTTTGAGAAAAGTTACTGGTTTGTATTATCCTTCGTGGATATCAAACTACCCGCTTTAAAATGATTATTCCCGCGAACTTTGTAGTTGTAAACTGTATAAGAAATATAACCAGAAAACCAAATAATCTGATAGGCAAGCAATTGAGAACACCCATTATCATTTAGAAAAAATTACCATGATATAAAAGTCGGTTTATAAAAATTATTTAAGATCTTTTTACAACCACAACAATTGGTTTTGACCTAGTTAACTAGTAACCTAATTTACAAAAAAAAAAAAACTTTTAAAGTTTTAAGGCAACCAAACAATAAATCATCATTTTAGCCAAGGCCAATTATTAAGGTCACCTCCTTCAGCTTTTGATATCGCATCATATATATTTAAACTTTCACCAGGTGGAATTCCATATCCAATATGTAGTCCATGAGGATTTGATGGTGTTTTGCAATCCATGTTGCTATCTTTTCTCAGAGCTGTATCCACCTCAACTGATGAAAAGAATGCTACAGACATTGGCAAATCTGTTAGTCCGAGACGTGATGAGCAAAATGAACGTGTGAGAAGATTTGTTATATGCAGCGCCAGTGCTGTTTTATACGCCAACTCCTCTTTCACCAAATAACGTACTTCGTCGTGAAAACTTAAGCTGAAACGAACTTTTGTGCCCATAAGCCATCGCATACAAACTAACATGAGATGTAGAAAATCTACAGCACCACTTTGTACAACCCAATTTACACGTGTAGGTAGAAATCGATTCTCATCTCCACCGTGTACTTCTAAAGCACGACTCAGACGACAATTAAGGAAAGGCGTTTTTGGGCATTCACTTAAGGCTATTTCCTCTAGCCTATTAAACATCGCGCTTTCAGTACCACCCACCCATCTGGGAATGTGAAACATCTCCTTTACAGCTCGATTGGATGCAGCAGCTAATTTCAATGCCTCATAACCGGAATAGCTGTAAAAAATGAGATATTATATCAATTTTGAATCAGAATTTGTTAATAAGCAGGTCTTTTTATACTTTCTGTCGTCATAATTGTCTGCAAATTCCTCGCGCAGTTTATAAACTCGTTTTCCTTTAGTAATAGCAAACATTTTCTGCGATTTACTCCTCGCTTCTGTATCAGATAGAGTGGGATTAAATTGCTTAAGTAATCCCTCGGCGAAATTTTGTCCAGCACCATAAATGCGCGCATAATTAATTACTTTGGCATGGTCCCTAGATATGCCCACAGCTTTTGCGGTGATAGAATGCATGTCCGTGCCATTTGACTTAGAGCCACTAATGGTCATCCAGCCTAGAGGTGTGGCGCCATGGATACCACAGGCATATGCATCGCCTAAGACTGATGCAATCCACAATTCCTGGGAATCGACATCAGCACCAACTATACGGTAGCCTGCTGGTGCTTGTACCATGGAACGTAACTCGGAGCCTATGCGTTCACGCTGTGAGTTTGAAGCCGTCATCCAAGTGGGTTCCATTGCTCTGCGTGTTAAAGTACCACAGGCAACGACTTGTGGGCAAATCGCTCCGTATTCCATTATATCGTCAATACTCCCATTACTTTTAAATTCTTGTGGTAAATCATCCTTATTAAACCATATAACAAGCTGACCCATTATACGATCACGATTGTTACGCCAATAGGACATCATACGGGCAATATCAATAACACGCTTTGCCGAACCTTCCCCCGCATCTCCACTACTTAGCACATTTTCAGAAAATTTATTAAGAAAATCTTTCGACAAAGGATTACCCACTCGAAATGAATTGCCATTTTTATGTGGTAGTTTTAGGAAAAAGCAACATCCTTCCAAAATTTTCTTACACCAAATGCCCGCTCCCTGGTAAATTCCATTTGTGTGATCTTTCGCTTGTTTTTTAAAATAATCTCTTTTTCCTAATTTAGATTCAAGCTCTTTATTAAGCGTACCCATGTCATAACCCATGGGATCCGCGTCTAAATTGTCAATTTCAAGCGTTTTCGGTACTGGACATCGTTCAATCAGCTTTTTTATTGGTATACGATATGGATTGGAAGCATCACTATCTAAGTCTATTGGTGGATATGGCTGTCCACGAAAGGGCACAAGAAATCCCCATCCATATTCCCTTATATAGTGCAAAGGATATCCTTCCCAACATAGAGAAAGCAACTTAGGTGCTATTTGCATACCAGTTCCGATTTGTGTGGCGCCTGGGGACCAATCCTCGGCGGCATCAGTTAGCGTTGAATTTTTCGGTGGTTTGTTACACAATTTCCGATACCAGGCGGGGTAACCCGGAAGCAGTGGGCGTCGTGCCGGCAAAAGTGACTTAGTATCGTACAAATATTGGAACTTTTTTTGTAAGTCTTGCTGCTTATCTATTATCAAATCGCTGTTGTCTCTTTTTACGGTTTTGTTGGTATCTTTTTTTAAGCATTTAGTTTTCTTCAACTTGATTCCCTGAACACTCCAGTCTTCATCCCAAAGCCACAAGTTTTCTCTATATGCTTCATCCTTCATAAGCCTGCAAGCGCTATCAGCTCTACGGGAAAGATGATTCTTAGCTTCAATGCTTAAGTCCTCGTAGGCCAAATCTGACTCTTTTAGGTAACGTGTCCAGTTAGAATTCACTGGGAGATACGCTGAACCTAGTTCTAGCATGCCAGCTAAGGTAGCTGGATGCGGAAATCTTTGTGAATACATAGTATAAAGTTTAGTAAAGACATTGTAGGTAGCCTCAACGTCTCCAGCACAATATCCCATTAGCATTTGGAAATTATCCTTTACATCCGACAGCGTGCCTTCTAGAAAAATATTGCGAGGCTCCTTTGAAAGTAACTCTCCTCCACAGTACAAGCGATGAACGTCTACTAAACTATTAAGAGAACTCTGCGCTTGCCATTCCTCGTCTTCGGGGTCTGCTTCTTTCTGTGACTTCAAAAGCGCACGTTGGTAACTTGTTATTCCGCTTACACTTATATGTAAAGACATTGTGTCTACAAACCGCGTTCCTATGTCCTCTATTAGATATTGCTCGCGCAAACGTGCTCTATCGTAAGAAACATTGTGACCAACAATAATTTTAGGACCCTTAGTTCCTAGTGGTATCAGATCTTTTAAGAAGTAGCGTTTCGCTGCTGCTAAATGTTTTTTTGATTTAATTGTATCGATATCTGTGAGATTGGGACTAACCCATGAATACCAATTTTTTGTGCCTACCGCTGCGGCCAATGTTGGGGCAGCACCTTCCGACATGCACACTTCTACATCCAGTACTAAAGCGTTTTCTGGTGGTATACTTATCGGCTGTCCTTCTCCTGTGTTTGCATCATAAACTGTCCACCCGCTTTGGAAGCACCATTTCGCTGGGCGGGCAGGTAATGTCTTGCACGTGACCAATGTATCGATAAGTCGCTCGTATGGGGCTACCTGTTTTTTAGCAATAGTGTAAAAGTGCTCTTCAATGTCTTTTCCATGAAGTTTTGGAAGTTGCAGATTAACGTCTGGTAAGTGATCCGTGCTGTGTACATCAATGCCATGTTTTTTCAACTCAGCGATATAGATCGACGCTTCCGCAGCCTTGGAATTCGTTGATTTCTTAAATATTTGCCTGTGTAGACATCGAGAAATCATCTGTACCTTAACGGCGTTCTCGGCATAATCTTCATTTTCATTCAATTTAGGACTTTTAACGCCTTCAATTGAACTAGCTTGGATATTTGTGTCTGTCTTCCGTGCTTTGGTATTACAAGGTGGCTGAGCAGCTAATTTATTGCTTCGAAAAACTTTAATGGTGCTATGGGGATACACATCTCTAATTTTTGTCGAATAACATCGCAGAAACAACATTTCTGCATTCAACAGAAATCCTTTGCACTTTTACGTGGTAAACAAACCGGCAAGTATAAAATAAAAATAAATAAAACTTTCACGAGAAACGATAAATAAGAAAAACAATATAGCATATCGATATAAATTGGAATTCATCGGGTAGTGCAGGGTGTGTCCGAAAAGTTATTAGTTGTGTTTAAACCTGGGTCATTCAATTATACCAGGGGGCCAATTCTTGTTCTGTGAAAATGTGAAATGAAAACATTTTTCATTACTTCACATAAAATTACGATTCTGTTTTCAAACGAAAAATAAATTGATTTTTCAAAATGTTTTTACTGTGCTAACTTTTTTTCAAACGGTTTGGGAAAGTTGGGCATTTTTCCCAAATCCATCTTGTGATGAAGAATATTATTCAGCCTCATTGCGTAGGTCGTAAATTAGGCTCAATTGTACGACTCGACAATATTGGCATTGTATACAGCCGTGCTGAAATAAGTAAACGACGAAAATCGTCGTAAACTATACAGTGCTGCCAAGTTTTCCCACTTTAATACACTAGTCGAGTGGAAATTTTAGGCAATGGCGTGAAACTTAAGATACGATTCGACTCTCGAAAAACGACTTGCATTCGACACGGCTCTCGCAATGAGGGCGATTATCTTAAACTCACAATAATACACCAAATAAAAAAGCCTTACATGATCACTAATGGGAAAATTTTCCAAAACGGATCCAGGCTTTGGAAAAAACAAAATATTAGGGAGTATAGAGGAGCTTTTTCAGATTCTAAATCTGAAGACCCCACCCTCCGGAGGCTTATAGTTTTTAAGTAATTCGCATTTAAAGTTGCAAAAAATACCGAATTCAACCTCAATTTTTCCCTTGTACACCAACTGAACTGAAGTGTCGGTGCTGCCATACATACTAAAAAATGCAAAACAAAAACACAAAACGGAAACAATGAAAAAATTGACATATGCCGCAGGCGAAAATTTTTAATTAAAAATTTTCATAATTTATCAAAGTATCGATTTTATAATAAAAAGCGCCGCGGTCGAAAAATTTTCATAAAAAATCGCGCGATTTTTAATTCTTATATATTTTATTTATTATAATGTAAACAATTTTGCGCGCTCAACGCAAAATCCACCTACATAACAGTCTGAACTCCATGTAAACATATTCAATATTTATTCCATTCAGATTGAGGGGCAATACCGCACATAAGCAGGTGAATTTCGCGTTAAGCGAAGCGCACATTGGCGCGATTCTGTCGTTGCGAATCCGCAAGCCCAAAAATTACAACAATGCTACCCATACATTTTAATGCGCTAGCGCACACTTGCACGATTCCGTCGCTGCGAATTTTTCGAACATTCAATGACGTTTTGAAGGCGTCAAAGAAGAAGAAGAGAGGTGTCACAGCAATAAAGGCAAAGAAAAAAAAACGTGTAATGTACAAAAACTAATAAAAACGTTCGTAATAATAGTATTTTGTACGATTTGGGCACGCCGAGTGCGAAAATACACGAAATAAAGGGAAAATTGAGTGAACTGTACATCGGAAATCGACGCGAAAAAATCGCTTAAGTGTGCGCACGTTTGCGGATTCGAAGTTAACAGCCGAATTCGCAACGATGGAATCGCGCTAATGTGCGCTTCGCTTTAAGCACGCCAAAATTAGCCGTCATCGATTCGCCAACAGTTAGCAAGTGGCGAAACGATCGAACTCAATGAGGTACAACCAAACTCGCTATCGTCTATCCGTGCTAGTTAACTTTGTTGTTGCTTTCACATGCAAAATTTTTCGTTAATTTTTCGGAACTCAAACATAGCAAGCAGCGAAGTGGCGAATCGATAACGGCTATTGTTTACCTTCTAAAAAATAAAATATATAAGTTTTTAGTGATATATTTAGCGATATTTTGACATATGTGGCTAAAATGAAGTATTGTTGTTGTATATATGGTGAAATATGGGCGATTTGTGCGTATGTGTATGCGTATTAAGTGAATACAAAAGGTGCTATTGTGGAAAAGCTTTTTGTTATTAACTTTTGATCGGGTAAAAAAGTTAATTTCCGCTTTCGGATCCTTATTATTGGAGTCCAGAGGCGTCTAATGGTACCACCTCTCCAAAATTTTGACCAATTTTGGGGGTTGAAAGCCCACCTAGATAATTACCAATTTAAATTTTATAAAGTAGACAAACTTCAAAAAATAATTTATGGTTGAAAATTTGAGCGAGCGGTTTTATCCATGATAAAAATATAGTAAGGTAGAACCGCTGAGAGTCACTTCTTAAATTCTTGACGTTTCTAAACAATTTAATTTCTAAATTTACTCACAAACTCACACACACATTTTCATTTTCAATCTCAAGCAACAACAATTTCGAACAATTACAATTTTTTATTTTCACTTTTATATGATTTTAAAATGTTGGCAAACTTCAAAAAAAAATCATGGCCGTCAAATGGAGAGAACGGTTCTACCTTGCCATGTTTTTATCATGGTTTTATCTTTAAATATTTTTATCATGTTGTAAAACAGACCTGTCAAAACGATGAATTGGAAAAGAGACGATAATTATCGAATAGTCATCGATGAGCTGCCAAAATAGCTCAGATATTTCATAACAATTTCTCGGCGAAATTTAATAAATTTTTTAAGAAATGGCGCAAAGTAGATTGGAAAAAATCGGCACCATATTCACCAGGTTTGTATTGAGTTGATAAATACTATATATAATATTTTTTTCTTTTTATTCTATAGGGTGGATGGTTTGATAAAGGCCAATGCTATGAGATTTGAGGACCGACCTATTTGGTATGATTTATATGCAGCTTTTCCTCCAAAACTAGAACCCCGATTTGATCGTCCTGCTCAAGATATAAAAATTAAAAATATATTTTATGCCGAAGATGTTGCAAGAGCGTAAGTGTTCTCATTTCCATACCAAGATCATATCATATTAATCCTTAAATACAAATGTGTTTGTGCATATGTACATTTACATATATATTGCAGAAAGTTTCAAAAAAAGGAGAAGCAGTATGAAATAATAAATTTACTGGACACAAGGCGCAAAACACAAACGCAAAATTTCATTGCAATATACCAAAACTTAAAAAGTCAAAATCCTCTGGACGAGGAAAAGCTGTATGAGACGTCTGTTGAAATGTTGGGCGAACAATCAAGAGCTCCAAATGCTGAAGGAGGAACAGACACCGCTGTTAGGACCAGTCTATTAGCGGACTTTGTAGATAGTAAAGCGAACAGTGAAAGTCTAGCAACTACTAATGTAGACATCAAAAAGCTGTTTAGTGAATAAAAGTTTCTTTTTACCTTCCTTTTATTAACTCGGGATGTAACTATGTAATATTGATGCGCCTAAAAGATGCAGCGATTTCTATTCTCAAGTTACATACCTGATGACAGTACGAATGGCAATTATAATAGGGATTTTTTAGTTTTTTAAACTATAATTTTATTATTATATAGAAATATTTATTAGCCCACTCAGTATCAATGCATAATTATACCGCTAGGGCATCATTTTGAGTCTCATGACTCAATTGTGTTTGAAGATTTGATAACTTATTTTTTAAAACCTGAACTCCCATTATAACTATGTTCTCCGGCTTGAGTGCGCCAGCTGATTCTACATTATAGAAAAATTTATTCGGTTTTGCTTCCCAATTATATGGTGCCTCATATTGATCATCTTCCAACTCGGTGTGTTCACTTTTTGGCCATTCATCTGGTTTGGGGTAGAGTGTATGGCGCATAGCATTATCTGGATCATATTCAAAACATACACCAGCAGTTGGATTCCATTTGGCATGCTCCTTGCCAAAGCCCTTTTTGGCATAAGCTCTCAGCTTCAGCTCCTGTCCTCGACGTAATTTTATAATTAAAATCTCATCCGTACTTTCTCCGTACTCATTATCTTCTTCATTGAGATGCCGCGACGTTACCGGCAATACCTTCGGGTTGCTTGATTTTAAATCTGCAGTTGTAACATGCCGAGTTTGCTCTTCGGTGCATTTAACATCAAGTGTGAACTCCACGCTGCATTCTGGACAAAAGTCCAAGCAGATGCAATCACGAGTGTATTGTAGACGTTCAACAACTTCGTCAGATATTAAAGGAATTAGTCCGATGCGATGAGCCAGAAACTCATCAGATAGCACAGTAGAATTTGCCTCAAGTTGTACCCAATCGATAGCTAGTGTTGGGGTCTCGGCAATGAAAACACGCCGTAAGCTATTGGCTACACTCAATTCCGTGTCTTCCAACACAAATTTAACATTATCGTCCGTCAATTCAGTTATTTGCACTGATGGCTGATTTGCGTACGGCATTTTCAAGATTTACTACACAAGAATAACAGCAATATAAATTCGTGGCAAAACCTATGCAAAATCGGCAATCCGTTCCGTCAGATTATTTGCCTAGATATGTGTTTGGTCTTCTTATTAATCGATTACGCTCCAAACACTGCATTGATCTGAATCTTAAGAACACAACAGGGGTCTCAAAGTAACGCATTAGTTGTGTTTGTTTACTCATTTCCAGTAAAATCCAGTAAAAGTGTTACGAATTTTTATTTCGCGTTTTCGTATGCAAAAACTTGTAAAGTAGGGGAAATTGAGAGAGCGAGAAGTGACAGTTGAAGTTGCAAGTTTTTACTGGATTTTACTAGATAAATTTTTACTTGTAAGAATTTGCCAGTACGAAAATAAAGCTAAAACTCCATAGGAAAGCGTATGCGTGTGTATGCGAGATCCGTTGGCGTGCGCTTACGTGCGTAAAAACTTAGCAACTCCACTTACAAACGTTAACAGTTGTCATATCGACAAGTTGATGCAGCACACATACATATTTTTATACATATTTATTAAAGAAAATACTTACTAACAGGTCTATTCTGCACGTTACCGAAGATTTTGTAAACGGAAAATTGTATTACCAAAAAATGTTACCAGTTCTTGTCACCGCGATTCTAGGTATGTTGGTAATGCAGTTAAAATATTCAGCAATTCAGCTATGAAGAATTGTGCAAATCCTGGCATTGCATATTTCACGGGGCAATAATTTCTTACCAGCTTATGAGATGGTAACAAAATTTACCGGTTAGTCGACGTTCAGACACGAAAACTTTTGTTGCGGAGACTCGAAGCTTGTAGAGGAGAGAGCGACGAGGAAAGGGGACGGGTACCGAGTCGCCCGTACTCGGGAAACACGCTTTGTGCTCTCGTTCGTCTGAGTAATACAAGTTGGCGATTCACAGCTGACAACAACAATTGCGTACAAAAGAGTTTCTGTGTGTGAATGCAAAGGGCAACACCAAAAGAGAAATCGCCGATAATAAGAAACTCGAGTTTCCGTGTTTGAATACAGACCTACAAGAGTATACAGAATGCGAAAAGAGTTTAAAAATTGACAGGAATTTTATTTACCGGTTATTTTTATTACCAGCGCAGAATAGACCTGTAAGCCGCATAAAATGTTCTATTAAAATGTGTATATGTATTTATGCATACCCAAACGTGTAGTGTAATTAACTTGAAGTGGGTTGCCTCCGCAAGCAAACGCATAAAAGTTTATAAAATTCAACTCTGTACACACGCATGCCTATGGAGTTCCAGGTTAACTGTCAGACGACGCCTGAAAAGCCTGAAACAAGTTCGAAATTTGGCGTCTTTCAGGCTTTTCAGACTTTGATTGTGGAGCAGCTTCTGTACAATTACACTAAATAATCTTTCAGGCTTGAGCGCCTTAAGCCGAAACGTCTGAAAAACCTGCTGCGGAGCTTCAGCCTAATTTTATCGAAGTAATTTTGTAGAAGTGTCAGTAGAGCTGATATTGAAACTCGAAGGTTTTTATAATTACGAACATGCAAAACATAATTCATTTATTTCTAGTAATGCAAATAGTAATCAATTAATATTCAGCCTTATCCAGAGTTTCGCCCGAAAAAAATTTTTCATACACCCATAGTAAATAAATTAAACAAAAAAATGGAAAGTGAACCGGTTCGGGGAAATGATAAGGCTGATTAAATTTTGGTGGAATAGATTGGCCGTGACGAACTTGTAAATGCGCGCTTCAAAATAATACCAATCCAATGTTTTTTTTTTTTGTAAATATGCGTTTCTGGCTAAAAATGATTCCGGTTGTCAAGGCAGGCTTTCTCCTCTTTATCTTTGTGCTGCAAATACGTCTTACATAATGTCCAGGCATTTCCTTTGTGGTGAAAAAGCATTAATTTTTGATTTGAAACCAAAGTTTATTGGTATTCAGAGATCCTCCAATATTCCTAGCATGGCCAATTGCATTGTTTAAGGTCTCTTGACCTTGCACACTGAGGTACATCCTCTTATCGCTCGTTTAGATAACCATAGAACGGGCATTTGGCCTATATGATTTTCCTTTTTTATCGTGGGCTTTCTGACCGTTTTGCAAAAACTTGATATTTTATTTTTTGCTTAGTATGTGCATTCACACCGAAAATCACACGCGCCTTGATTACAAAATTTCAGGAAATAAGCCAGAACTCCTCTTTGAATTAAAAAATTCAGCAATTACTAAGAGGTTGCAAAAGTGGTACAATCCAGTTCATTTTTATTTGGTAATTTTTTTCTGAGTTTCCATATGCGAATATTAAAATTTGTATTGTCTGACGTTTAGTTAAACATCGGTAAAGCGAAATGCAAATTTGAATTACAATAAAGTTAATAAACTAAAAAGTACATTACCACAAATTTAACTTTCCGCTCTATTGTTCCAGTTCTGCTCTTCAGTGTATATGTTACAGTGGCCACACGACGAACATGTGTGCGAGCATGATCGCCAACATGCTCGCTGTCGTTGTCATGATAGCGAAAAGATGGATAGCAAAGACGCGGATGATGCAACTGAAATGCTTATGACTTAGGTTTTATGTATGTGTTACATACGTTTATTTATATTTTATTTCTATGTATGTCATACATATACATACAGTAATTAAGCCTCATTTACCAACAATTCAATAACGCACAAAGCTTGGATGCACTTATCCGCCGATGAGCACACTCACGACGAGCATGCTCACTGAAAATCAAATTTTTTGAATTTTTTTTGGTGAACCGCCCCACAAGCAGAGCATGTTCGCGCACATATTCGTCGTTTGTGGCCACTGTAACCTAGTATAAATGCAATTCTAGACCCTCGAATAATATCGACTATCGATTGTGTCAAATGCGCGCAATCTCTATTGAGTGGTTTATAAAAAATTTGTTTCGATTTATTCATAGCCGGCAATATGCTGCAGTTTTTACGAAAATCTCGTTTCTATTTCATAATAACTCAAGAAATTAATGAAATTCAAAAGCTTTCGCAAAGTAGAGAAAACAAATTAAACTTTAAGGAGCTGAAACATGTGTCCAAAGTCCCTCGTACTCCTATAAAACAAAGTTACCCCGTGGACGAAACACCAGCAATTGACATTGCCACTATTCAACTCCTCGAACGACTTGCGTTAGTCAATTTGGAAAGCAAAGAAGCTTTAAATACTCTGGAAAACAGTATAGAATTTGCGGAAAAAATCAGTCATATCGACACCAACAACGTGGAGCCTTTGTACACTGTCTTGGAAGACCAAAACGTATATTTACGCGAAGATATCGTAACAGAAGGAAATTGCCGTGAGGAAATCTTACGGGGGGCGAAAATCACCGAGGAGGATTATTTCGTATCGCCTCCTGGCAATATACCGCTGCAACAAAAAGAAAAGGATTTTTCATAAAAGAATACTACATCTAATATGCAACAATTCAAAAAAATAGTTAAGAAATTGCAAAACTCTCGTTATTTAAATGCTTTAATTAAAGACACTGGATGTATAAGTAATACCGAACTGTTAGAAAACGGTGTAAAATGTAGTGAACAAATTTTGCACCATTGGCGCAATACACATTCATTAGATAAGGAAGTTGCAGCTAATTTTATAAATACCAATGATAATGATTTCATGACTAGTTCTCTGAATAGATTAAATTTTGTTTACTCAAACCAGTTTCACGAAAAAATCAAATACTTTTATAGTAATTCAGATACCAAGCAATATCCGGCTATTTTGAAAACTATACAAACTGCTACAGTAGATAAATCAAGTGCTGCTCATGAGCCCCACAGTAATTTGGTATGTTCTGGCGCTCGCCAGCACACGTTTTTGATAACGGATTTATTAGTTCATCATGCTAAAGGATTTAGTAAATTTTTCAATTCGCAACGTGAATGTAAAATATGGTGGATGCGAGTTAGTTCGGATCCTAGTAAATACTTCTTAGAACCATATCATTTTGAGGACATACCGAATACCACGCTACCTACAGGCACACAATCCGTAACAATTAAAACAAAATTACCATATTTCACGTTCGATGTCGAAAGTATTACCCTTGTACCCTTGGCTGGAGCTGGCTTGAATCAGACTGCGTTTCAGCTTTTGTCCAATAATAAAGGTGACCAAAATATGCCGGCTGTTATACGTTCAGTTATTGATTTGAACGCTGCAACAGGTGGTAAGTTGGCAAATGTGTAAATTTTTTTCATTTTGTGTATATGTATGTAAATAAATATTTCTATACATTTTGTAGCTATTCTCTTTGATAGTGCTGATAATGATCGTGATAATTCTCTGTTACTCGATAGAAAGCTGGCTCCAGTTCAATGTGCCGTAGCCTGCTACCATGAAGGTAAAATTTTATATGTAATAAAAATAAAATGATTTAACTAGTTTTATTCGAAAAAAGGCAAAAATATAGACGATCTAGAGGACTTATGTTTGCATCTACACTTTGTTCTCGAGCGCTCCGGGCTACGGATGTTAAGTGAAAATACAGTTTTCACAGATTCCTTTCAAGAATTGGATGTTGGCCTTCAAAAATCCGATTGCCTTGGCATACCATATACGCTAATAATTAACGAAAGTACTCTTAAGACTGGCTTGCTACAACTTCGTAGTCGCGATACAACGCTGGAGGAGTCCATACACATTAGTGATATACCAGCATATTTATTACATATATTTTCCAGTTGAAACTTCCCGCATAAAATGATGAGAGAAATATTTATTGATACTGTTAACTGCTGGTTTCACCAGCAATTTTAGTGAGAGAGGATTTCTTCCATTCTGCCATTTTTCATAATAAATTCAAATAAAAAAAATCATTTTCACCTAAATTGCTTTCGTGAAACGGGAAGTTAAACCAGTAAAATTTAATTGAAATCGCATAGATATTGACGCACATTAAACCCTACAACTTGACTTATACATACAATAAGATCCAAGCCCACTGTGCATTGTAAGCGTGATGTACCATCCATCACATTTTCACCAGAAACAAAGCTGAGTAGCTTAAGATTAACAAGGGTTGAAATTTGTGACAATAAGTTACAAGTCAAACCGACTTTTTCGTCAAGAATGGCATAGAAAATTGCCAGCAGCCGATCAACGCTGAAAGACTTCGGTCCTATATAAGTACTCATTTTTTCAGTGACCTTGAAATTATGTCCAGGAAATGAAGCATACAAATATATATTAATTAAGTATATAAATTGTACTTACTTTTGCATTTGCATTAACAGCCTGCATTCGTTTTCGGCGTTTTCCATGATTTTTTACAAACAAACGCTTGTCCTCTTTTGATGAATTATAACTTGCGAGAAATGCCGCTATTAGCAAATACTTCCCATAATACGGAAGCTCAAGAGATTGTGCTATCTTAACTATTTCCTTATCACTGTGTTCTGTTGCAATCTGCACTTATTTGATATTAATATAACGTAATTCTTAGTTTTATTTCAAACTTACCACTTCCGCCTCTCCACTTCTTATGTAAACTTGTGTTAGTGCAGTACGAAGTTGTCCTGCAATGCAACGCCATAAGCGTGAAACGTCTGACATGCTGACGGTGCCATTCAAAATAGGTTCCATATAGAAAATAAAACATTTTCGCGCTGTAATTTTCAGCTCGGATAGATCGCGACACGCTTTATAAAAAACACCCAGGAAGAGATTTAAGTAATTGTTAAAGAAATCTTTTGTAATTGATTCTAATATTTTCAATTTATCCATAAGATTATCTGCTTTATTGCGACCTAGGTGGGCGCTAACGAGTTTTTTTGCATTCTTAAAATCAGCGCTTAGTATTTCGAGTGTTTCTGATTTGGTGTACTGTGGAAAGTATAATAGAATAGGATCATCTATACTTGTTTTACCATAAAATTTTTCCAATGGCAGCTGTGAAATTAGTATAACACAAAGGTTCAAACCACAGAGCTGCTGCAACCTCAAAAAAGATGGCAAGACGTTCGCATCCATATCCCGTAGACGTTCGGCGTTGTCAAGGACAATTATATAGCGCGTATGTGGTTCTGTGTCTTGACGACGCAGTTCCTCTACAAAATCCTTTAGATTTTCTGTCTTAACAGCCTGATCATCGCTTTCACGGCGTACAAAATCCAAAACGTTTTCAAATAGAATGCGAGAAGTATAGTTCTCAACGCAATTAACAAATGCTATATTAGTTTTATTCCTTTGGAGAATGCTTTTACTTAGAAAATGTTTAATTAACGCTGTTTTCCCAGTGCCGGTATGACCATAGATATGAATTGCAGCAGGAAGCATTTCTTCACTGTAACCAATCAGACCAGCAATTACTCTGATTTCTTTCTTCCTGCAGGGGAATCTTTCATTTACTTTATTCAATATTTCCATTGCTTAGGTGCCCAATTTTTAAACATGTATATTTCAAATGAAATTTTTATTTATGTTTTGAGAGAAGCTAAATTATTTTGAGCGCTTTTTATTTGAACAAATGCAGCTGGTGGCGAAGATCTATCGATCGCTTATAAATGTTATCGAAGGAGAGGGTCCTTCAAAAAAAGTAATTAATATATTCATCATTTCTCATTAAAATTTGTATTTTATATAACTGCGATCTTAACCATTTTCGGAAATTTTTTCCAGGAATCTAAAATTTCAATCAATTCCTTCGGCAATATTTTGAGATATATTTGAGTTTTCTCGCATTTGCATCGCTCTGTTTGGCCTTGTGCGATGACTTGCCACATATCGTTGATGAAACTTATCGATATTTTTATTGACAACTTTTGGTGACGTTTGTTTTTCATATAAGAACAGTGGACGTCGTTTAGTGGTTTTTCCTTGCTTACACATATGTATTTTCAATATATTTTCTAATCGATTTAATCGGTTTTTACAATAAAATCGCAAAATGAAGTACATTAATTGTTAAATTAGAAAATATTACGAGATAATCATTTGTTTACTGTGCGGGTGAGCTCGACAGGTGACCTTATCGGCCATCAACAAATTTACACTTGATGTGAAGGATATTGACAATATGCAAAGTTTCTCCACAAAAGCTAAAGAAATGTTTATCGTTCGTGCATTGGAAAAAATTTTAGCTGACAAAGACATTCGACGCTCCCATCATTCGCAATTAAAAAAGTCTTGCGACTCAGCGCTTGAACATATAAAAATCGAGCTCATCAACGCTGGTCAAATTGCGGAGGGCAATGAGTTGCCTTGTGCAGCATTGCCTCTACCAAAAAATGACGCAGCCAGTATTATTAATGCAGAAACGTATTTTCTGCCCTTCGAATTGGCGTGCAAGAGTCGGTCGCCACGAATTGTTGTAACCGCACTTGACTGTTTGCAAAAGCTTATAGCATATGGTCATTTGACAGGTGCTATACAAGACTCTGCGAGCCCTGGACATTTGCTTATTGACCGTATCGTTAATACTATTTGTGGATGCTTCAATGGACCACAGACCGATGAAGGTGTACAATTACAAATTATTAAGGCTTTACTTACCGTAGTTACATCACAGCATGTGGAAATTCACGAAGGCACCGTATTGCAGGCCGTGCGTACTTGCTATGACATCTATTTGTCGAGTAAGAATCTAGTCAATCAGACAACTGCGCGTGCAACACTAACCCAGATGCTGAATGTGATATTTGCGCGCATGGAGAACCAAGAATATGAGACAAGCACGAATCCCCATACGGAAAGCATTGGCAAGAGCGGCTCTAGCACCGATTTCGGTGCACAATCACTAAGCGCTGAAACGGAAGAACCAATAAATGGTAATGAACAAGAAATGTCACTGGAAGAAATTGCTGCTTTCGTTTTGGAAGAAGTTTTAAATAGTAAGTTTATGACTATACATTTGTAGATTATATTTTCTGATTGCCCTAATTGCATTTATACCATACATTTTTATTTTGAAGGTGCCTTCGATCAAGCACTCAAAGAAAAGTCACCACCTGCTGCTGAGGATTCAATAAATTCTTCATTTGGTTCAGTTGAAACAATCGACAACCACACCAACTCCGAAGAAAATGCAGAAAACCAAAATGAAAGTGATGCAGTAGTCACTGCGAAATTCACACATATTTTACAAAAAGACGCGTTTCTCGTTTTTCGAGCTCTATGCAAATTGAGTATGAAACCATTACCAGAAGGACATCCCGATCCTAAATCTCACGAATTGCGTTCAAAAGTTTTATCGTTACACTTATTGCTTTCGATTTTACAAAACGCAGGACCGGTTTTTCGTTCGAATGAAATGTTCATTATGGCTATAAAACAGTATCTGTGTGTTGCACTCTCCAAAAATGGCGTTAGCTTGGTGCCGGAAGTGTTCGAGTTGTCACTTTCCATATTCGTTGCTCTGCTATCGAACTTCAAAGTGCACCTAAAGAAGCAAATAGAAGTATTCTTCAAAGAGATCTTTCTAAATATTTTGGAAGCTAACTCTAGTTCTTTTGAACATAAATGGATGGTAATTCAAGCTCTAACCCGCATTTGTGCCGATGCTCAGTCAGTTGTGGATATCTACGTTAATTATGACTGTGATTTTTCTGCCGCAAATTTATTTGAGCGTCTCGTCAACGATTTGTCAAAAATTGCGCAGGGTCGTCAAGCACTAGAGCTGGGTGCAAATCCTTTGCAGGAGAAATCAATGCGCAAACGGGGACTGGAGTGTTTAGTTTCAATATTGAAGTGTATGGTTGAATGGAGTCAGGATTTGTATGTGAATCCCAACTTGTCATCACTGAATCCTCAAGAGTCTGCCAATACACACGCCACGCACAAAACTATGGCCGAATCAGCACATAAGCAAACTCATTTGGATAATACCGATGCGATTTCGCAAACCAACAACTCTACCACCCGTTCGGCCTATGGTGGCTCCAGCCATAGCCTAAACTCTTATGGTAGTGTAAAGAACACAGAGGTACTTGATTTGCCTGAAGCATTGGAAGAGCGCAAAATGCGCAAGGAAGTGATGGAAACTGGTATTGAATTATTTAATAGGAAACATAAAAAAGGCGTACAGTTCCTACAGGAAAAGCAACTTCTGGGCACGAAAGCAATGGATATTGCTAAGTGGTTGCACGAAGACGAGCGTTTGGATAAAACTGTTATCGGTAATTATCTGGGGGAAAATGACGATCATTCGAAGGAGGTTATGTGCGCTTACATTGATGCCTTTGACTTTCATAATTTGGAGGTTGTGGCTGCGCTGCGTCTCTTACTTGAAGAGTTCCGTTTGCCTGGCGAAGCCCAAAAAATCGATCGTCTGATGGAAAAATTTGCGAGTCGTTATTGCGAGTGCAATCCGAATAATCAACTCTTTCAGAGTGCCGACACTGTGTATGTTCTAGCATTTTCCATAATTATGTTGACGACAGATTTGCATTCACCGCAAGTTAAGAATAAAATGACTAAAGAGCAATACATTAAAATGAATCGCGGTATAAGTGACAGCAAAGATGACTTACCGGAAGAGTATTTGTCGTCAATTTATGATGAGATTGCTGGACATGAGATCAAAATGAAGAACACTGTTGTAAGTAAACCAGGCAAACAGATCATAGTAAACGAGAAGCGGCGTAAACTTTTGTGGAACATGGAAATGGAGGCTATTTCTGCCACTGCAAAGAACCTAATGGAGTCGGTGTCACACGTAAAATCACCATTTACATCGGCCAAGCACCTCGAACACGTTCGACCCATGTTCAAAATGGCATGGACACCATTTCTAGCTGCATTTTCTGTTGGTTTGCAGGATTGCGATGATCCAGAAATTGCATGTCTCTGCCTAGACGGCATACGCTGTGCGATACGCATTGCTTGTATATTCCATATGTCATTGGAACGTGATGCTTACGTACAAGCGCTGGCACGCTTTACTTTGCTTACTGCTAATTCACCAATAAATGAAATGAAAGCCAAAAATATAGATACAATAAAGACATTGATAATGGTTGCACATACAGATGGTAATTATCTTGGTTCCAGCTGGCTTGATATTGTCAAATGTATCAGCCAATTGGAGTTGGCGCAATTGATTGGTACTGGCGTTCGTCCGCAGTTTCTCTCCGGCGCGCAGACAACTTTGAAAGATACTTTGAATCCAAGTGTTAAAGAACATATTGGTGAGACGAGCAGTCAGAGTGTTGTCGTTGCGGTCGACCGAATTTTTACAGGATCAATAAGACTAGACGGTGATGCTATAGTGGACTTTGTGAAGGCACTTTGTCAAGTGAGTACTTAAAATTGTTTACAATATCACGTACTACATAGTTACACTATGTCGAATTTTTACCGTTTAGTTTTTTCAATGGGTTTAACTAGTCAAATGAGCGTAAACATCATATTTTTTCTTTAATTTTTAACAGGTCTCCGTTGATGAATTGCAAAATGTACAACCAAGAATGTTTTCTCTACAAAAAATCGTAGAAATTTCATATTACAATATGGAGCGTATTCGTTTGCAATGGTCTCGCATTTGGCAAGTACTAGGTGAGCACTTCAATGCTGTAGGCTGTAATACCAACGAAGAGATTGCCTTCTTTGCATTGGATTCATTGCGGCAGCTATCGATGAAGTTTATGGAAAAAGGCGAATTCGCTAACTTTCGTTTCCAAAAAGACTTCCTACGACCGTTCGAACATATAATGAAGAAGAATCAATCGCCCGCCATTCGAGATATGGTAGTGCGCTGCATTGCACAAATGGTCAATTCACAGGCGCATAATATTAAATCCGGTTGGAAGAATATATTTTCAATATTTCATTTGGCAGCAAGCGATAATGAAGAGGCTATCGTTGAGTTAGCATTCCAAACGACTGGAAAAATCATTGGTGATCTCTATCAGAAGCAATTTGCTATAATGGTAGACTCTTTCCAAGACGCTGTAAAATGTTTATCGGAGTTCGCCTGCAATGCACGCTTTCCGGACACCAGCATGGAAGCAATTCGTCTGGTACGCACCTGCGCGCTTTGTGTGCACGATGCACCTCAGCTATTTGCCGACCACGCCGGCATGGAAAATGATATTTCCGTTGCGGAAGAGGATCGTGTGTGGGTGCGCGGCTGGTTTCCGATGCTTTTCTCTCTTTCGTGTGTGGTTAATCGTTGTAAGCTAGATGTACGTACGCGTGGCTTGACTGTGCTCTTCGAAATTGTTAAAACCCATGGCGACAGTTTTAAACCAAACTGGTGGAAGGATTTGTTCAATGTAATATTTCGCATATTCGATAATATGAAATTACCCGAACACGTGACCGAGAAATCTGAATGGATGACCACTACCTGCAATCATGCGCTCTATGCAATAATCGATGTTTTCACCCAATATTTTGATGTGCTCGGCCATCTACTGCTGGAAGATCTTTTTTCACAGCTGCATTGGTGTGTGCAGCAAAGCAACGAGCAATTGGCGCGTTCCGGTACAAATTGCTTGGAGAATTTGGTGATATCCAATGGATTTAAATTTAATGAAGCTACCTGGGATAAGACCTGCCAATGCATATTGGACATATTCAATGCTACGCTGCCGACCGAACTACTAGTATGGCGTCCAAGTCCACACCAAATGCCAGTTCAGTCATTAGAACCACATCAAAAGGCAGCTTACACTGTGGCACAGAATGCCCACGACAAGAGCAATCATAACACTGCTATCAAACGTAGTCAATCACAACATTCCGTTTACAGTACGCATGTGATGGATGATGATGCAACAATGAGTACGTCTCAGGGCTATCATCCCAATTCACATGCTATTGTGATGCACAATTCACAATTTGAAACTTTACATATTAAGTGTGTCGTGCAATTGGAACTCATACAGACAGTGGACAATATTGTATTCTTTCCGGCAACCTCACGCAAGGAAGATGCCGAGACATTGGCACAAGCGGCTGCAGATTTGGCCGGTAGTAATGCGGTACAAAATGTGTTGGAATGCCAGCGGGAGGAGCAGGGTATGTACAGTTACCTACACACGCGACAGCTACTAACCTTGGCCGATTGCCTAATGCAATCGCATCGCTTTGCAAAACGTTTTAATGCGGATCACGAGCAGCGCAATATATTGTGGCGCGCAGGCTTCAAAGGATCCATCAAGCCAAATCTATTAAAGCAGGAGACTGCTTCATTAGCCTGTGTGCTACGCATATTTTTGAAAATGTATGGCGATGAAAATCGTCGTACCGATTGGCCTGGCATCGAACATGAATTGATACAGGTGTGCAAGGAGGCGCTAACTTATTTCCTTAGTCTGCAAAGTGAAGCACATCGTGATGCCTGGACATCATTACTGCTGCTAATACTCACACGATTGCTGAAGATGTCTGACGCAAGGGTAGGAGGCATACAAATTTTGATTATCTTTCATTGACTAGATTCGAGCCGTATATTTTAAAAGTGGCATAAGTTGTTGCCTGCCGTTTCACTTCAGAGATCATTTACCTGTATGTGAACGCATTTGTTATTTGTTCAACTTCATGATGGAAGAACGATTTACCGTTGCATTCAGTTAGAAGTAACCATCGTTTAAGCACAAGAGGTAGAAAATAACCTATGCCGTTTTCAAAATGAACGAATAATTTATGTAAGATAAGTAAGGTACTTTAGTTCGTCAATGGGAGTGTGCTGCTATATTTACAAATGGTTGAGTTGCCAGTGTTATCTGGACGTTATTTTAACGACATAAAACACAAATTTTTGGGTAGTGCTGCTGCGGCAACAGTTCAAAGGCGGACTTATCAGGGAATACCGCTTGCGTTCAGATACACGCGATTTATTACACTGCCAAAAAAAAAAATTTGTGTCCAGTGAACGTGGCTAGTCAATAACCATAGTTTCCACAACATATCATATTTAACTATAAAACTTTACTAACAATTTTTTCATAACGCGGTGATGTACTTACATACGTACACATAAAATAACACATTTTTGTATATAAAAGATAAGATTAACTCTTAAAAAAATAGATAGTAAAGATATCTGAAGAAAAATATTTTTATATGATCCAAAAATATTTGTTTTTAAAGATTTCATAGCAACTCTAGGAAAACTTTAATTTTATTGTACCCATAAAAGATATATGGAAATCTTCAAAGCACTTATGTTTCCATTAATCGTACTGCCCTAAATTGTTTCCCTTTTGTCCGGCGAACGGGACCGGTCCATTCGTATATCTTTTAGTTCGTTGAAATCGAATGTGAAGTAAGAATTTGAAAAAAATGTTTAGATTTTTTCTTTCCAATTTTTCGCCGCTTCGGCAGCCGGTTAATCGGCCGAAAATTTTCAAACACTAAATTGTTAATAAATTCGGTGTGAAATATTCACTTTTTTGAAAAAAATACCGTGTAGCCGGAGTTGGGCAGATTAGGGTTCTTTTTTCTAAGCGCGGTAGAAGGCTTCCAACGCGGAGAGGTATTCTGCGCGTAAGTCCTTTGGTTGCCGTAACCCGAGCTTACATTTTCTGGCAAAATGCTAAGTTTACCACATTTTCAAATGGGTGCCGAGCGGTCAGAGAGGTGAAGGGTGACTTGCCTTAAAGTTTGGACCGTTCTCTTTCTAATGGGCGGAGTCATCAATTTTTTTTCACACCCGCTCCAATATAGTAAACAATACAGTAAACTATATTTAAGGGATTCGCAAGCCACCATAAAAGTCGTATTATGAAATTTCACACCGTTAAAAAAGTATTTGGTTGTGGTTTCAAGTCCTCTAAACATTTGTTTAGCCGTTCAAAACTTTACGACACACGACAATAGGACACTTAGGACACCTTGTGAACCATCTAAATATGTATTAAATTCACACCGAAATGTGTATATCAGAAACAATCATCTTCGGTAGAGAAAACCGTTATAGTCCTGGCTAGATACATTGTAAAATAATCAGATGACAAAAAGAAGGGGAAGTGGGCTGTTGTTGTTGTTGTAGCGGCTACAATAACCCCGCCCAGATCGGCTGATATCTCAGTCGTTGTCGTCGAGTTCCACTAACCGCAGCCCCAAGAAGCGTGCAGCCTCTATGGGGTCGGTCCACAGGGACGTCGCCGTTAGGATTGTAGGGGTTTTCCGGGCATGCGAAGAGATGTTTCGAGTCGTGAGGGGTCTCTCCGTATGCCGGACATTCGTTCGGCACATCCGCATTTAGCCTACTCAGGTAGGAGTTTAGCCTGCTGCAGTAGCCAGAGCGAAGTTGGGCTATTGTTGTTCTGGTCTCCCGAGGCAGATGGAGCTCCGTCGCGTCAATGTCCGGTGTTTGTGTGCCTAGAACGGCATTCACAGGTGTTGAGTCTACATAACTCGAGACTGCGTCCCTGTGAATGCCGTTCAGGGCCTGTCTGTGAGCTGACGCGTCCAGAGGCTGCTTAATGAACCTCTGGACTTCGTCCGTCAGTTCATATAGATGCCACATGGGAAGTTGTCATCGTATTTAGTGTAAAATTTAAACATTTTTAAGATACGATTTTAATTACTTTTAAACAGTTAATGTTATTAAAACTGTTTTATACATAATCCCAAATTTATGATATAAAATCCCTTCTACTAAAAACTTAAATTGGGTGACGCCGCTTCGATTTTTTAACAATTGAGCAATTATCAAAAATCTGCTTCTTAATCAAAAAGTTGTTTATTAAAACTACCTTCTTTTTTGTATCATGATAAACAGTAACCGTAGATTTTAAAATAATGATGAAAGTATTGTTGTAACGTAAATAACTCAAAACTCCAGTGAAAAGAACCAGAAAGATTTAGGAATTCGGCAATTACTTCAAGGATAATCGTAACAATACATACAGTAACGAAAATATAAATAGGGAAGAGACATTTTAGCATTCTTTGGCTATTTCCCTTTCGTTTATTTAATTTTTATTACTTTTTTATGCAAATGTAGCTCGTTATCTAACAAAAACCATGTAAGTAAAAATTTAAAAATTTTTAATTAGATTTTGTAGAAATATTTCTGAGTATGCAGCTTGTAGCCCATTCAATTTTATTATACGTAGTGCAAATTTTAAGTAGCTGGGACTTACCGTTGATTTTTGGGGACTTTTGATTTGATTTGATTTGATTTTTTTTTTTGATTTTTGGCAACTTTTTTGTGGAAGGTGTTTCTGATTTTCTCCATACAAAAAAAAAATCGAAGATACTTTGTATGGAAGAAAATGCGTGAACAAAAAATTACCAAAAATCAACGATACGTCCTTTATTATACTAGAATTAAAAAAAAACTGCATACTCAAAAAAATTCTATAAATTTTGATTAAACAGTTTCAAACTTTGATGAACATTTGTTAACATTTCGAGCCCTAACCGCCAAAATAACGTAAGCGACATTTTTTTCAAAATTTTCTTTTTGATGCAGAAATGTTCCTAGAGCATCTAGATACATTTCTGCATCAAAAAGAAAATTTTGAAAAAAATGTCGCTTACGTTATTTTGGCGGTTAGGGCTCGATTTGTCGAATTTATATAAATGTTCCGCAAAGTTTGAAATTCGGATTTACAGGGTTTTGTTTAGATAGTAAGCTATATTTCCATAAAAAAATAATAGACATTTTTAAACAAAGAAAAATAACCAAAACTTGCTAAAATGTGGCTTCCCTATTTACATTCTTACACACAGTACATCATAAAAACCAAACATGAGAACACATTTATGACAGGAGGAGTAAGATGCATTAATATTTTAAGATTTAAAGGAATTAAAAAAGTAAAAATAATCGGCCAAAAACGGTCGATGCCGACTCTTTTGGCCGATACTAGCCGATGCCGATTAATCGGTCGGACTCTATTTCCAACATCAAAAGACAACATATGCACATGTTGTATCAGGGAAGTAGGCTTTAAAATTTGGAGTCTTCAATTCTGACTTCCTTTACGAATGCAACGAGGCGAAATCTACGATAATTTACGAAAAAGTCCTCAATTTTTTCATATTTTATAAAATTTTTTTTATTTCTTCACATAGTATTTATTTTTGGTTCTTCAATAAAAATTAGTCGCAGTATTACTGGAACAAATATTTCTTTATATTGAAATAATATCATATGACATTTTTTAATCTAAAACATTTTTTACTTTCTTTCATTTAGTTTGCCACACATGTCTCCAATTACTATACGCTGCTGTGTGAAATGATGTGCTTTGATCTAAAGCCTGAACTAAGAAGTGTCCTTAGACGAGTCTATATGCGAATTGGCCCAGTATTTAATATAGTGAGCCTTAATGTAAGGAACTAAACGACAAAAACGAAAAAAAAGAAATATGTATATCCTTTCCGAGTTTTCTTATCTCCATTGTAAAATGAAATCGTAAATATATGTACGTACGTACATATGTATATGCAGTTATAAAATTTTATAATAGTGGAATTCACCTTGTGGCTTTTGATGTTGAAGAATGTAAATATATACCAAATAAAATAAAATGATTAGATGAAGAAAACAAACAAACAAGTTTAGTAGCCTCAACTGAACAAAAGCATAAATATATATGTATACATATACATACATATGTATGTAATAATAAAATATGTTGTATGTATGTACGTTGGTTGCAAAAAGTTCTAAATTTTTATGTTTGTATTATTTCACATATTTGACTTGTTTTAAGTTCATATTAACCCATTAATTATTTTGTGCACATTTGGTGGAGGAAGCAAATATTGTTATTTTAAATAGTTTTAAGCTGCTAGCGTTATACGAATACGATATAATATAAATAAACATATATTACAATATGCGTATGTATGTTCATGTGTATGCATATTTTAAGATATAAAAAAAAATAAATAGAGTATGTATGTATATACATATGTATATTATTTGGAAACTGTTACATATGTAAACATATGCATGTATTCATGTATGTATGTATGTTCAGTATATGAAGCAAAAGACAGTTCTCGCTGCAACCTCCGGTGAACAAAGCCAAATATCAAATGCCCAGAAAGCTGTGCAAACTGCCAACAACCTCTTGCTTTCACCAGCGGGAAAGATCAGATCAGTGTTGGAAAAATGTAAATCTGATTAACGATTAAAAATTAAAGATTAAAATGTTAATCAAGATTAACAATTAAAATTAATTAATCGTAATAATCCGTACGATTAATAACTAAATTTGTTAATCGTTAATCGTCGGTTGTGATTACGATTAATTAATTTTAATCATTAATCGTTAATCCAATTTAAGACGAATCTGATTAAGTGGTCTAGTTTGTTCGAATTTGAAACTAAACATGGGTTATAGTTATTTTTTTGTGTTTCACGATTATAAAACGCGTGGTTCAATGCGCAGGGAGGATGGTTCCGTGCGCAGAAGTGGAAAACTTTTGACTGCCATTCACCTGGGAGTGGCCAGAAGCGATTCTTGTGCGTACGGTTCAAATCGCAGCTCACAACGTCCGGATATTTATATCCACGTATCCTCTGGGTAGCAACCAAACACCCGTTTGGGAGCGAGCTAAAGTGAGAAGGCGTAAAACTTCGCGTGCGCTGGGTTTGGGTCCCGCCACGTTAAAACCCCGCCCAATGAAAAGAAGCAAACAGCCTCGGATGAGACCCCCTTTTTCTGATGACGACCACGGCAAACATATAAAGGACTATGATTTAAGGGTATGCACCTGGAATATCCGGACCCTTAATGGGGAAGGTACCTCTGCCCGGCTGGTTGATGTCCTCGGGAAGACAAAGGCTGACATCACCGCCATCCAAGAAATGCGATGGACGGGGCAAGGTAAAGTAAGCGTGAAGCCTTGCGACGTCTACTACAGTTGCCACGTAAAGGAGCGCAAATTCGGTGTTGGATTCGTGGTAGGAGAGAGACTCCGTCGCCGAGTACTGGCGTTCACCCCGGTGGACGAACGTCTAGCCACAATCCACATCAAAGCTAGATTCTTCAACACCTCGCTCATCTGCGCCCATGCCCCGACGGAAGAGAAGGATGAGGCGTCCAAGGATCTCTTCTATGAGCGCTTGGAACGTACATATGAGCGCTGCCCCCGACACGATGTCAAAATCGTGCTTGGCGATTTTAATGCCAAGGTGGGCAAGGAAGGGATCTTTGGCGCCACTGTCGGAAAATTCAGCCTCCACGACGAAACGTCCGATAACGGACTGAGGCTGATCGACTTCGCCGGGGCCCGAAATATGGTAATATGTAGTACTAGGTTCCAGCATAAGAACATCCACCAAGCTACATGGCTGTCTCCAGATCGAAAAACGAGAAACCAAATCGATCATGTTGTGATAGACGGAAGGCATGCTTCCAGCGTTTTGGACGTACGTACACTCCGAGGGCCAAACATCGACTCGGACCACTATCTTGTTGTAGCCAAGATACGCACCCGCCTCTGTGCAGCAAAAAATGTGCGCCCAACAATGCAAGGAAAGCTTAACGTCGAAAAGCTGCAATCACAACAGACGGCCAATTTATTAGCCACTCGACTCACACACCTGCTCTCTGAGAGCACTCTTCAGCAATCCGACGTACGCGAGCAGTGGAACCACATTTCCCGATCATTAAGTACCGCCGCCGAAGAAGTAGTTGGATTTCAGCGAGCCCGAAAGAACAACTGGTACGATGAGGAATGTCAAGAAGCCGCCTACAGGGCCACGCTGCGATCGGACGCAACGCGAGCCATGTGGGACCGTTATAGGGAATTGAAGAAGGAAGCGAGACGTATTTGCCGCAATAAGAAGAGAGAGGCCGAAATACGTGAGTGCGAAGAGCTTGAGATGCTGGCCGACAGGAAGAACGCCCGAAAGTTCTACCAGAGGGTTAGGCGACTTACGGAAGGTTTCAAGACCGGGGCGAACTCCTGTAAGTACAACAATGGCGACCTAGTGACCGATGGCCAGAATATACTTAAATTGTGGAGGGAACACTTTTATAACCTACTGAATGGTAGCAGCGCTGAAAGTAGTCAGGAAGACGAACCCGAGTCCCCAGTCGATGATGATGGACTAGCTGTCCCACCGCCTGACTATGACGAGGTACGAATAGCGATTACGCGGCTGAAAAACAACAAAGCTGCTGGAGCTGACGGCCTGCCAGCTGAGCTATTCAAGTACGGCGGCGAGGAGCTGATGAGGTGCATGCATCAGCTCGTATGCAGAATATGGTCAGACGAAGGCATGCCCGACGACTGGAATTTAAGTGTGCTCTGCCCAATCCACAAGAAAGGCGACCCCGCCATACGCGCCAACTACCGCGGAATTAGCCTTCTAAGCATAGGTTACAAGGTCTTATCGAGCGTATTGTGCGAAAGACTGAAGCCCACCGTCAACGAGCTGATTGGACCTTATCAGTGTGGCTTTAGGCCTGGAAAATCCACCATAGATCAGGTATTCACAATACGCCAAATCTTGGAAAAGACCCGCGAGAATAGGATCGACACACATCATCTATTTGTCGATTTCAAAGCCGCTTTCGACAGCACGAAGAGAAGTTGCCTTTATGCCGCGATGTCTGAATTTGGTATCCCCGCGAAACTAATACGGCTGTGTAAAATGACGTTGAGCAATACCACCAGCTCCGTCAGAATAGGGAAGGACCTCTCCGAGCCGTTTGATACCAAACGGGGTTTCAGACAAGGGGACTCCCTTTCGTGTGATTTCTTTAATCTTATGTTGGAGAAGATAATAAGAGCCGCAGAACTGAACCGCTCAGGCACAATACTTTATAAGAGCGCAAATTGCTGGCGTATGCCGACGACATCGATATTATCGGTAAAAACAAGGGCTACGTCTGTTCTGCCTTCTCGGGATTGGATAGAGAAGCAAAGCGAATGGGTCTGGTGGTGAACGAGGACAAAACGAAGTATCTCCTGTCAGCACACAAACAGTCAGAGCATACGCGTCTTGGCATCCACGTCACTGTTGACAGTTACAAGTTTGAAAAAGTAGACGACTTCGTTTATTTGGGAACCAGCATTAACACCAATAATAATGTCAGCCTTGAAATCCAACGGAGAATCACTCTTGCCAACAAGTGCTACTTTGGGCTGAGTAGGCAATTGAGAAGTAAAGTCCTCTCTCGTCGTACAAAGATCACACTCTATAAGTCACTCATCATGCCTGTGCTGGTGTATGGCGCGGAAGCATGGACAATGAAAGCATCTGATGAGGCGGCTCTTGGAGTTTTCGAGAGAAAGATTCTGCGAAAGATTTACGGACCTTTACGCGTTGGTGATGGCGAATATCGCAGACGATTTAACGATGAGCTGTATGAGCTTTACAACGATATAGACATAGATTTCATGTAGGCTTTACGTGATTTCCTGCCAACGGCTTTAACCACGGTGCCCGCATTTGGCACAACGGATTAATTTTTGCATTAATCACTGCCCTGAACTGCAAGCAATTCAGTACCAATTGGCAGTATGTGGTGGACACACTTACCACCTTGGTAGGGCCGAGGCCTACCTAAACCTCTGACGATCTGTGGATCACGACATCCGGTTGTAATGCAACTCCACATTGAACCATTGCTGGTTCTACCCGCATTTAGGTATTAAACCACAGCCACCACGATACTCCCCAAAGGGGCCGTACCCATGAACAGACCGGAGTAATGCTCGCCGGCGAGATTTGCTGGACTGGCTCAACTCACCCTGACCCACTTAACTGACTCAGCTCACACTAGAACGACTTACACGACTACTTCACTCCACATTCATACTCCGTCTTGCTCGTCTCACAAGTCTAATCGCCTCGCTCGTGGGCACCCTCCACATCCAGGAGCGGTGACACCACTTGCTCAACTTTCGACCGATCGAGTTGCTCGACACACATTCACCATCTTGCTCCGTCTTGCTCATCTCACACGTCCTACTCGCCTCGCTCGTGGGCACCCTCCACATCCAGGAGCGGTGACACGGCTCAGCTTTCGCAACGGATCAAATTGCTCAACTTGCGCACAACTTTTTCACCATTTCCAGCGGTTTCCACCACACTTTTGCTCCAATTACAACTGTTTTCTCCATTATCTCCATTTTCACCATTTTCTCCATTTTCTAGTCGTGTAAGCCATGCCAGTGTTTGCCTTGCCTGCCTTGCAAGCCTTGTTTGTGTCACCAGTTTTGCTCGTCTCGCCGACGAAAACACTCCGGGGGCATCTGTTCCCCGTGGCACCATTTTTAAAGTCTTTGGTATGACTCTCGAAAGCCGTAGACTTCTTCCAGTTGAACCTCCACCGACTCAGGACTGGTAGCCTTTAACTGGGGTAGACGGGGTTGTCAAGCCCGTACCCTGGAAATACCAAAGCCCCCTGTCTTCCCTCCTGTTTTCTCAAACCGGGCTTGGGACCGTCTAAGGCACAGTTAATATAGACATAGTGCAGCGAATTAAAATTCAGCGGCTCCGCTGGCTTGGCCATGTCGTTCGGATGGACAGAAACGCTCCTGCTCTGAAAATATTCAACGCGGGCCGCGATGCTGGTAACAGAGGAAGAGGAAGGCCTCCTCTGCGTTGGAAATACCAGGTGGAGAAGGACTTGGCTTCACTTGGCATTTTCAATTGGCGTCAGTTAGCACAGAAGAGAAATGACTGGCGTGCTGTTTTGGACTCGGCCAAAATCGCTTAGGCGGTTACAGCGCCAAATAAGAAGAAGAAGAAGTTTATAAAAAGCGCATAATATGAAAAAAAAAAATATTGTTATTAGTAATACATAAACTGGGATTTTTTTATAACCCATCGCACATGTGCAGAGGGATATTAAAACCTAGTTTGC